CCCTGCTTTATCTATATAATTTATTCGTTGTTTGAATAAATGTGGAAATTAAATCATTACAGTTAACAGGCCTAACTTACAATGTGTTTTTAAATTGTGATCACATGGTTACGGTCAATTCGGTTATATTAAACATATATATATTTTATGACATGACACACATTATCTGTTAATTGCCCAAAAAAAAGGGTTTTATGATGTGCATTGTTAACAGGACATTGTGGATATATATATTGTGTTATAATTCCCGCTCATGGAATACACCAAAAAAGGGGCAAGGCCTGGTTGAGCTGCAAAAGAGAAGATAAAGAAGAATATGGAAGGCAGACAGGGCCAGATGTCTTTAAATAGAACCCGTGAAGTTTGTCTGCGTTAACGCAGCAACATGCATGACAGCCAATGAAACTGCTGTATTTGAGAATATATTTGCATATATGACACAATAGTACGCTGTATATACGTATAAAAACATCAGACGTCATATTTATTCATAAAGGATGTCGTAATGGTACACCTTATGCACGAATGCAAACATCAGACATTGTATTTGTTCATAGGGATAATATATCAGTACGTTGTGTCAGTCTTATGTCATGATTTGTCATGTCCTTTTTAGTTGTTTAGTTCAACATTCTTTCTCAAGTAGAAAAGTCTTCATTTACATTGTAACATTCATTTATTTACTCGGTCCCACTTTATATTAGGTGGCCTTAACTACTATGTACTTGCATCCAAAAATAAGTGCAATGTACTTATTGTGTGCATATTGTATTGCAAAACACTTTTTCTGCTATTGAGGTGGGATATGGTGAGGTTAGGTTAGGGACAGGTTTGGTGGTATGGGTAGGTTTAAGGGTGGGTTAAGGTGTAATTATAAATGTAATTACAGAAATTAATTACAATCAGATATTTTTTTAAATATAAGTACAATGTAAAAACATGCATGTACACAAAAAGTGCATTGTATCAAATGATTAATTTAAATGTAAGTGCATAGTAGTTAAGGCCACCTAATATAAAGTGGGACCATTTACTCTAGTACAGTAGATATCAGTAAAGCAATGCCGCAATAAACTAAAAGGATTAATGCGTGGGTAAATCTAGAGGAAAATCTGCTTTAAAAAGTATTACACATTCGAACACAACCAGAATGTGTGTGCGTTGAGTTCATCGTCTTAACGCGGTTAAACTCGACCCCCTTAACAAAAATAGCGTTTTAATAAATGAACAAAGATTTATAAGCCTGAAATGCCGCCACAATGTAAAAAATATTAAGTTTTACTGTCTTTGTGGGGACATTTGGTCAGGGGTGTGGGATATTGACATTGAGGTATTTTTGTTGATAATGATAATTCAATATTTTGCTGAATGTGTTTTTGTGCTGGTACCTTGGCTGGTTTAGGCTTGTCAAAGATAAATCAGTAAAACCACCTGTAGGTGGCAACAAATTCCTGTTTTAATAAATTACTGATTAAATCATTCAAATGATTTGTTAACTATAAATGATTCAATTAGAAATGAAGCAAATGGTGTCTTTATGAATGGATCATTGAATAATTGGCTCACTTGATTCTTTCAGAAACTGATTCATTCAGAAATCAAACACCACAGTGTTGCTCTGAGATGCACAACAGCTCTGCTGTGGCTTTGTTTGCAACGATTTCATTTGCAAAATTGAAAAATAACAGACAATATTGTGTCTAAAATGTAACTCACACAATTAACTTCTTGAATGTTGAACAAAATAATATGACACTCATGCTGATATTAACTATATCATATCTTATGAAAATAAAAATTAAATCTCATTCAGGGATATTTTTGGTCTTGTAACGGAAGAGGTCTGACGCAACAGGTTAGTATATATCAAATATGTTTATTGGGTCACAGAGAGTACTGGGGTAGGGTTCAGAGGATGTGATGGTGAGAGAATAGTTCGAAGGATATGATGAGCGGGGTAATCCGGGTCTTTGGCTGTACAGGAGCTGGAATGCAGGCAGGAGGAGCACACACCTCAGCGATCCGGGAACTAGGAGGAACAGGAGACGAGGAGACACTAGGAGGAACACAGGAGGTAAGTAATGCAGGAAGTATTCAAATGGAAGTAGTAGCAAAGTCATTGAGTCCTCTATGTGTATACGAGACCGGACAGTGAGGGTGTCTGAGGTGTGTGCTTTTATTCAGCCTGGTAATGAGGTGCTTGATTGGTGACAGATGCAGGTGCTCAGAACTCAGGTGAGAGGGATCATTGTGATGATTGGGAGGTGATGGAGCCTGGCCGATCTGTTACAGGAATGCCATTCCATTGTTTTCTAAGTAAGCATGCACTAGATGACGTTTCACACATGACACACCGTTCTAAAAACAAGGTGCTCAAATTACAAGTACAACTTTAACTTTTTATTTTCTCTACCCTGCATCTCATGCTTTTTTTTATGCATGTCCCCTTACCTAGCTAACAAAATTTTGTTCTAAGAATGTTTGCTAATGTTCTTTTTAAGTTATGGAAACATTATTTCTGCATGTTCTCTGAACATTCAAAACATCCAGTTACATGTTTTATTTCTTTTTTTTATTTTTCTGTTACACAACTAAAATGTTTCAGAAATAAAACATTATATGAACAATATATAAATAGTGTTTTGGTGCTAATATTTTGAGAACATTATTAAAGACAAGATAACTCTGAATGAACAGTCTATTAGCGTTACTGGAAGAATGTTTGTTCATAACTTTGAAAGAACCTTGCCAGAATATTCTGATAACATTCTCTGTTAGCTATAGGTATACATGTTACAATGATACAGACTACATAAATGATGCACAAGTCAGGTAGAAAGACTGATCTCCACACTAACAAA